CGACAATCACGGACGAGGGTTCGTTGTTTTTTGTCGCGAATTCTCCGCTGAGATTTTCGGGTTCGCGAGCGACGGGTGGTCGAAGGAAAAAAAGATAGCGCCGTGATTAATTCCCCTACGTGACCAGCCGCTCATCAAGGCGGTAATTCAGTGATTGTTGAAAATGATGTTTGCCATACGTAATGGCGCAAATCGATAGGCTCGTATAAGCAGAGGGAAATTAACGTCGTGCCATCCGGTACACAGGACGCGCACGCTAGATACAACCGGCATCGAAACCCTCAATTTGCGGCAATAGCCTGAGCCTCTCGCAGCAAGGGACGACTCTCTCGCCAGATCCATGATCCCTCGCTTGCTAATTACTACCTACGTCAAATTCCCCCGATTGCAAACTGCTGCGTCCGACAACCGCAATAAAGATTTCGCCGATTAATCGAGATTTCGACCGGTGAATCTCCGGCCGGCCGTCTCTCGCCAACCGATGTCTCCGTTGTTACATCGTTAGAAATTTCACACTGCGGAGCAGTGGAAATCGGATATATTGGGTTGGCAACTAAGTGATTGCGGCTTCTGTCAATACCACCCGATGAAAAAAATCCTCAATCACTTAGTTAACAAGCCAATAGTATTCCAAGTAGAATTAATTAGCGTCAGGGAATTAACGCGTACTTGTTTGAATGTACGCGTGAATACATAGGGATTCGAGAGCAGGGTCGATCGATCGAACAGCGCTCGTAGAAAATACCGTGGCTGCCAAAATCGAGAAACTTGGATCTTTTATGGGGAATATTCCACGTAGCGACGGGAATACCGTGATATAGAATTCGAATGGGATTTAATTGCTTGGTAGATTATTAAGCTGTGGCGGCACTCGGCAACTTTGTATATCCTCCAATAAGTCATCAATATCTTAATGGTCCTTCCGCAGAATATTAGAGAAGAAGACGTGCGTGGCAACGTTCGCGGTTGCTTAACAAACGCGTGGATAGTGGGAATATCGAGGGGCGCGAAAAAGAAAAAAAATCTAAACATAAATATTACGGGCATACCTCGTAATAAATGATCGGATCAAACGTAAATATTACGGGCGTAGTTCGATGATCGGGCCAAATATAATATATAATATATAATAGCTTGTTTACGTTTTCGGCCCAAAATTCGTAAACGTAGCTTAAGGGGTTATTTAACGCACTACGACGAATAACACCTCAAACCAGTTAGCTATTGCGACCACTTTGAAAAGCGTGAAATCGCAGAAAGTAAGCGACGACGAGTATACTCGTCGAACGCAAAATATTTGTGGCCGTTGGGGGCGACAAATGAAACAAATGGGACAAAAGAAGCATTGGTGTTTTAACAGCGAAGCGAGAAGTCAACGGTAACCGAGAATTGTGCGAAACGAGTCGAAGGCAAAGATCGTTGAATAAATCTATCGCCGAACACCGACGAGTATTTCTTTGCTTAAATCAACCCTACACCGCTTCAGAACAAAGATGCAATGAAACGACTGTTTTGTTTTTCAATGTTCTTACGATTTATTGCGATTTACCGCACTGACTAAATTGCTATTTAAACAATAAATTGTAACCACTTTGTACGCGCGACGGATATGCTCGTCGTAACACGAAATAGTAGCATTTCTTCGTGACGAGTATACTCGTCAGGAACAGCTAGTTAGCTGTTAACTTCACTACGGAGAGGGCAGGGACACAGCGCAGTGCACGCTGGAACTCTGTCCGGCGTGGGAGCTGCCCCGCTAGAAGCGATGTTGAGAGAGTCACAGGAGTACGAGGCCGTCCGCCTCTTCCGCGAGCGAGTTATGCTCGCGAAGGAGCGAGCAGAAAGGGAGAGTAAGAAAAACTCTCACCCTTGTAGGATAAGACGATGGAGACGGATGGCAGTCAGGCGGCCTAGAGCCGCTTCGCCTCTTCTGCGAGCGAGTTATGCTCGCGAAGGAGCGAGCAGAAAGGGAGAGTAAGAAAAACTCTCACCCTTGTAGGATAAGACGATGGAGACGGATGGCAGTCAGGCGGCCTAGAGCCGCTTCATCGCCGTCCCAACGGACCACGACTGAAAGGGGCGATAGCGCTAGGCTCCTAGGGGCAACGGCCCTCCCCCTCGCCCCTAACGCCAAATTTAACAGTCAGAGAATTATTAGGACTAGCTCGGACAAGAGAAAGCAGAATGGGGTGCAGCGGAAGATAACTCACGAGAGATTCCTGGAGCACTCCTGTCATACGCGTAGGATGGTCATCGTGGAGTTTTAGTCGGTAGGAGTCCGACACTACTCTGCTGTTACCCGATTATTAGTAACAGCGGAGTGTCCATGAGGATTTCTCCACATACAGAAAAAAAGAAGAGTTAGCTGTTAACTTAATCACTTGATTAATAACGCTGGAGGATGGACAACGTCGCTTCTGCGGAGGAAGATACAAGCGCCGATAGAAACGTTGGTTAATCGTTTCTTGGCTTTTGTCTATTTAGACGGATGCCAGGTATCCAAACGAATGGGACACTGAGTTTTCTTTGCGACTAAGAGATGGCACATTCAGCACTTCTTACAGTACACTTCTCTTTTCCAAGAATTTCGACTGCATTAATGCGTAAGTTTTCTTTCCCTCCTCAAGAACTTGTTTCTTGACACTTGCAGTGTTTCCTACGAGAGTTTTTCAACTCGCTTTTTTCAAATTGGGTCGCGTCTATCGAAGAAATTATCTCTGATTTCTGTAGAGATAATTGATAAACCTTTAACAATATCGATGTAATTAATTTAAACGTAGATCGTTTGATATAAATTTCGTGTTGCTTTTATCATACGAAACGAAGGGAATGGGAGGAATGTATATTAGAACTTAAAGACGAATTTAAATTTCAGTTGATAAAGATTGGCTTACTTCTACGTGAATCAAATAAGATCAACAGAACCAATGACGATAATCAACGTCCTTCTTTTCTTCCTATTTCTTTCTTTCTAATTTTATCGAAATTGTTTTTTTTTTTTTTTTTAACAGAGACCGATCAAAAGTAAGCAAGAGGATTCCATAGCACTCTACTGGTATCGCGTAATAATAAGAAATATTCTGCTCGCGTCCTTGTGTCGTGTAGGCAGTACGACGGAAGGTTGTGGCGAGGATGAAAAGTTAAAGTTGAAGTGTCAACGAACTCCAAGAAATAATTAAGAACCTCATCAATTTATCATGAAATGAGCGATAAATTAGCTGAGTGCTGTACGATCCTCGTGAGATGTGCGCAGCAAGCTAGTATATCTACAGATACAATAATTTAAATTTATGGAGAAAATTTAACTGCGTTTTTCAAAAAAAGGGATCGTGTACTATTCCCTCTGTTATTTAAGAGCATACTACAATTACAATGGGAGGGTAACTGGCAGCTAGCTCCTTTACTGGTTGATTTTGCTTTTGAAAGGATATGCTCTTGAATTTTTAACACTTTTTTATAATAATGGTCGATTAGTTCATTTGGATGACAGACATTCTGATGTAAGAATAAAACTGGAGAAAACGTTATACAGAAGTACTATAACTACGCTCCGAGAAGTGTCACCGGGGTCACTAAATGACTCATAGATATTTTAGGTTAGTACCAAGTACGGAATAGTGTCGTATCCCTATACGACGTCAAGCTTCTGGACGAGTATTTCGCATCTATAGAGGACACTATTGGCAGCAACCTCGATTGAGTCACTATATTCCAACTTCCAAGCGTTCCATCGCTTCCTGAAGGTCTGCGTTCTCTATTCCCTCCTTCTATTTTACTTCTTTATTTGTCTACGTGATTTTATTCATCTAGTAGGAAATTTGATCGAAACTCCGATCTAAAATACTAGATAATAAAATTTCATCAGAAGGAGATTTCAAAATGACATTGAAACGAGACTGAGATGACATTTTGAAGTTTTATTTTCAACAGTGGAGACTGACGTACTTTGACAAGGCTATACGCTATGATCGATTATATTTAGAATTCCTATTACGATAAACTGACCAGTCACTTTTCACTTGATTTCGAAAGCAAAGGTCACTTTATGCTTTAGGCACCTCATTATAATTCATCTCCCCAGCAAAACGGCTTTCTTACGCTGGCTGAGATCCAAGAAGTGCGATCAACTAACAATCGCAGAGGAATTACGCGTGTTTATATAAACTCGTACTCTCAAAGGTGCAAATAACGTAACAGAAATTTGATTATATCTCTAGAAAATTATCTTTCACAAAAGTTGTAATATTTAATCAGTACTAACAGTCTCCACTAAAGATAACGACAAAGACAGATTGAGAATCCAAAACCTAAAGCATAGTAAAGCATCTTTTGTTGAAAGTGAGAAGCGTCCAATTCTCGTGCAGAAAACCACAGGAATTCTACCTCTCTCATAAACCTAATCTTCCATGCGGCATATAACATACGGATTAATAACCCAAGATCGAATGCATAGTTTCAGCAATCTCCATTTTCATTTACTGAAACTGAAAAAATGCGATCTTGGTCGAAAAACCCAAAAGAATTCTCTTCGGAAAAGCTAATCTTCTAACTTATAAGCTGAAAACGCAACATCCAATGCGTAGTAACAGTAATTCTCATTAGCCAGAAGAAATATGCTTTAGTGAAACTGAAAATAATGCGATCTTGGTCCGGAAAGCCACAAAAATGTTCTCCTAAAAGGCTAATCTTCCATAGAACGCCTAAGATGCAAACCGAAAACCTAAAGTCTAACACACGGTAACGTTAATGCTCGTCAACAAAAGGAAATATCCTTTGCTAAAACTGAAGAAGATGCAATCTTGGTCCAACAAGAGCTATGTCTGTTCTTCAGAAAAGCTGATTTTCCATAATGCAGCGATATGAGATATTTTTATTGTGGAAGAAATAATCCGCATCTGGCGAAATCAAGCGTCGCGCGCGGTCTACTCGCAATTTTTCGCCAAACGGTCCAGAGAACGAGTAGTATTTCACGGGCCGTGGAAGAAATATAAGATATTTACCACTGATCCACGTGCCGTTGAAGCTCTTCGGAGATAACGAGCCCGCCAGCCATTCTTCAAGAGAAATACCAGGTGCGGCTGGCG